AAGTAGAAAAATGAAAAAATTGAAAATAGGAAAACTAAAAATCGAAAAATTCGAAAATAAAAGAAGTGGAAAATCGAAAAATTGTAAGTACTTAGAGGAATTGAGGAAACAGAAAATCGAAACATTTAAAACTAAAAATCGACAAAATTTAAAACTAGAAAAAAGTACAAAATTTCGTTTTTTCGATTGTTAGTTTTTCTATTTTTTATTTTCTCAGCCTTTAAACATTCGGTTTTTCGATTTCTTAAATCCTTGCTTCCCAATTTTAAAATTTTTCAGTTTTCATTTTATATTTTTTCGGTTTTTCATCTTTGGAATTTTTTTTTCGACTCGAAAAGTAGAAAAATGCAGAAATGAAAAACTGAAAAATTAAAAATCGCAAAACTGAAAAACGAAAAATTGCAAAATAAAAAAAGTTGAAAATAGTTAAGAGAACTGAAGAAACGAAAAATCTAAATATATATTTAAAGCTAAAAATCGAGAAACTTAAAAATCGAAAAAATCACAATGTTTCATTTTTCCGATTTTGCAGTTTTTCGATTTTTAAGTTCCTCGACTTTTAATCCTTCAGTTTTTCAATTTTCAACTCCTTTATTTCCAATTTTTAGATTTTCAGTTTTCATTTTATACTTTTTCGTTTTTTCATTTTTGGTTTTTCAATTTTAGGATTTTGCAGTTTTTTCTCGAAATCGAAAAACTGCAAAATCAAAAAATGGTAAATACTTAAAAGAATTGAAGAAACACAAAATCGAAACATTTAAAAGTAAAAATCGAGAAACTTAAAATTAAAAAAAAGTACAAAATTTAGTTTTTTCGATTTTCAGTTTTTCCATTTTTAATTTTCTCGACCTTTAAACTTTCAGTTTTTAAATTTTTTAAGTCCTTGTTTACCAATTTTAAAATTTTTCGGTTTTCATTTGATATTTTTTTGGTTTTTCATTTTTGAAATTTTTCTTTTTTTTCAACTCGAAAAGTAGAAAAATGCAGAAACTGAAAAACCAAAAAATTAAGAATCGCAAAACTAGAAAAAAAATCGGAATATTTAAAGCTAAAAATCGAAAAACTTAAAAATCGAACTCGACTTTTAATCTTTCGGGTTTTCAATTTTTAAGTCCTAGATGTCCAATTTTTAAATTTTTCAGTTTTCATTTTATACTTTTTCGTTTTTTCATTTTTGATTTTTTAATTTTACAATTTTACAATTTTTTTCTCGAAATCGAAAACCCGAAAAAAACGAAAAATTACAAGATCGAAAAATAGCAAATACTTAAAAGAATTTAAGAAACAAAAAATCGAAACATTTAAAAGTAAAAACCGAGAAACTTAAAAATCGAAAAAATAAATTAATTAAAAAATTGGAAAGAAGCTAAACGAACCAAGAAATTCGAAAACCCAAAAATTGTACAATCAAAAGATTTATAGAATCGCCAAATCGTAAAGTCGAAAACTGTAGGATGGAACAATTGAAAAATTAAATATCGAGAAATTGAAAAATTAAATACAGAAAAATTAAAGAATTGAAAAATGGAAAAATTCGAAAATCATAAAACTGAAAAATATTGAGTTTAAATGAAAACTAGAAAAATCGCAGATCAAAAATCGAAAAATTGAAGAATTTCATATCGAAAAATGAAATATTATAAATCAGAACATTGAAAAACTGAAAAGTTGAAAAAAAAAGAAAATAAAGACCGAAAAAATAAAAAATCGGAAAACCTGAGAATTAAAAAAAAAAATTGAAAAATCGTGAAATTGCAAATCCGAAAATTGAAAAATTCAAAAGTTGGAAAATTTAAACTTGAAGCTCTGAAAAATTTAAATGTGAAAATTCGAATGCGTATTGTAAAATTGAAGAAACAAAAAATGAAAAATTGAAAAATCGGAAAGTTGCAAAGCGAAAAATTCAGGACACCAAAAATTAAAAAAAATTTAAATGAAAAAACAAAATGTCGGAACACTGAAAAATCGAAAAATTGTAACAATAAAAAAACAAAAGACGAAACCGAAAGTTGTGAATCGAATGTTTGAAGAAATGATAAATGAAAGTTTGGAAAAATTGCAAAATCTAAAAATTTTCGAAACAAAAAAAATGAAAAATTTAAAAACCGCAATTCAAAAAATTGGAGAAACGAAAATTTCGAAAAATATAAAATCGGAACATTGAAATATCGAATAATTGAAAAAATAAAGCACTGAAACGAGAAATTGTAAATCGAAAAATTAAAAAATTAAAGATTGAAATCTCGACAAAATTGAAAAATTCAAAACGTAGAAAATTGAATAACTGAAAAATTTAAACTTGAAAACTCGAAAAATCGTAAATTGAATAATGATTGAACATTCAAAAAATTAAAAATTTCACATTGAAAAAAGAATTATAAAATCAGGACACTGAAAAACCGAAAAGTTAAAAAAAATTAAGAAAAAAAAAGTTAAAAACTCGTGAAATTATAAATGGAAAAATTGGAAAGTCTAAAAAGTAAAACATAAAAGTTACAAAATCGGAAAATTGAAAAATTTGAAAATGAAAATTCGAAAGGATGCATAGTGTAAAATTGAAGAAACAAAAAAAAAGGAAAAAAATCGTAAACTGAAAAATTAAAAAAAAAAGTTAACAAAAATTATGAAATGGGAACACTAAAACATAAAAAAATTGTAAAAGTAAAGAAAATAAGAACCGAAATCAAAAGTTTTTGAAGTAGTTTGAAAAAATTTCGGGGACCCTTTGAGCTTTGTTTTTGAAGTAGTTTGAAAGAATCCTAGGGACCCTTGCGTTTTGTGTTTGAAGTAGTTTAAAAGAATCTCTGGGTCTTCCTGTGTTCACTTTTTGAAATAGTTTGAAAGAATCTCAGGAATCCCTTGCGTTTAGTTTTTGAAGTAATTTGAAAGAATTTCGGTCACCATTTGTGTTTAATTTTTGAAGTAATTTAAAGGTTTAAAAAAATTTCGGGGACCCTCTGTAGATTTGGTTTTTGAAGTTTTTGAATCTAGGGGACGCTTGTGATTTGTTTTTAAAGTCTTTCTTTGAAGTAATTTTTGGAAGATTGGAGATATCTTGTCTCTTGTTCTTGTTGTAAATGTATTCATTTGAAAGAATTTCGGGGACCGATGGTCTTTTGCTTTTGAAGTAGTATGAAAGAATCTCTGGGACTTCTTGTTTCTCGTTTTTGAAGTAATTTGAAAGAATCTCGAAAACCCTTTGTGTTTTGTTTTTGAAATAGTCCTAAGAATCTCGGGGACCCCCTGTACGTCTCGTTTTGTTTTTGAAGTAGTTTGAAAGAATCTCGGGGACCCTTGTGGATGTGGGTCTTATTTTTTAAGTAATTTGAAAGAATCTCGGAGATTCCTTCGTTTTATTTTTGAAGTAGTTTGAAAGAATCTTGGGGACCGCTTGTGCTTTGTTTTGAAGTAGTTCTAAAAAGTCTCGGGGACTCCCTGTTGGCCTTGTTTTTGAAGTAATTTGAAATAATCTCGGGACCGCTTGTGTTTTATTTTTGATAATTTGAAAAAATCTCGGGGACCCCTTTGTTTTACTTTTGAAGTAGTTTGAAAGAATCTCGAGGACCCCTTTTATGTTTTGTTTTTGAAGTACATAGTTCGAAAGGATCTCGGGGACCTCCTGTGGGTCTTGTTTTTGAAGTAATTTGAAAGAATCTCGGGCGCCTGCAGATCTTGTTTTCGAAGTAATTTGAAACAATCTTCATTGATTGTGTTTGGGTTTTGAAGTAGTTTGAAAGAATTTCGGGGACTCTTTGTATTTTGTTTTTGAAGTAATTTAAAAGAATCTCAAATTTCCATGATTCATGATGTCTTAGTTAAAAAAATCGGGGCTCCTTTGTCTTGTTTTTGTGCTAATTTGAATTAGATTCCTTTGTGAAGTAATTTGAAACTGGAGGCTCCCTTGTGTTTTTTTTTTAAGTTCGTTTGAAGGAATCTCGAAATCCGGAACATGGTATTCCTGGAGGCGGAAACTGCCTATTTCGTTGGGTAATTTTTGGAGCATTAACGTCGGGAATTGAATAAAGCTCCTTATAAAATTTATCGATAACATCATCAACACTATTACCTGCGTAATTCACAAATTCCCAGTTTATTTCGGTCCGCTTTGTGTGGAGTCCCATGACATTTGCTTTATACAAGTTATACCTATCCAGGTCATTTTCAAAAGGAAAATTATTTTTCGTTGAAAGAGCTTCCCAACTAATTCAATGAGTAGAGTGGGATGATGACAAACATTGTATTTAAAGCTTTGAAGTTTCGACAGGGTTATGGTAACCGGTTCTTGGGGATGTTCAACATTAAATCAGTCGGTGCGATTCTAGTAGGCAAATATTGAAAAAGCTGCACCACCTCTGGGAAAATCAAATTAGCTCGGCTAAATTATCCATTGTTTTGAATTAATTTGACCCATAATCGTTCGACAGTATCTGCGGGCGCCGTATTGTTCTACTTCCAGCACAAATTAATTCACGAAATATTCGCGTCATAATTGTATTATATTATGCAGTACAATGCGAACAAAAAAGGTTTCGTTAACATCCCCCGAGTTCATTTTCTCGCAGAAGTGTCAGGACGATTAATTAAAAATATGTTTACGAAGGCGGGCGTCCGGGCGCAAATTTTTATTTACGGTCGCTTAGGCCCGAACCTGCGCCAAAACGCAACTTACCAAAACTTGAGATTAAATTAGTAGAACTCGCGGCGAATCTCCCGATCGCTCTTTGTTCTAAAGTTAAAAACTCCAGAACAACAGAACGACGGGCTTGCGAAATTAATTTTATCGAATCGAACGCTTCCAACTTTTTACAATTACAACTTCCCGAAGATAATAATCCGAAGTCAGAACTGCGCCCGACTTAACTTTAAACAACATGATCTCGAACTTTACAATATTGTTATTGTTGGGGCGATTTTTCCCCCAAGCGTGATTAATCTCGCCCCGATGCCGAAAAAACAGTCGCTCTAATTAAAAAGCTCGATGATCGATACCGTTTTTGCAGGACCCCACGATGAAGTCCTCCAAGTACACCCAGGCCAGCACGCCCAACGACAACGACTACCGCGACTACCAGAACGTGGGCGTGACGCTGCTCCCCGACGAAAGCAACCAGAACCTGGGGGGCCAGCGCAGCTCCGATTTTCTCCTCAAGGGGGCCTACGACCCGTTCCGGCCGCCGGATCGCTTCAGCCCCGAGCGCAACGCGAATCGTTTTCCGGTGGACATCGAGCTGTGCAGCTGCGCCAAGGAGGCCGCCTTCAAGGGCCCCCACATGGTGATGAACCGCTCTTTCAGCACGCTGCCCAAGTTCGACACCACCAACCTGAGTCAGTTCAGTCTGGACCGGAAGCTGGCCAAGTTCCCGCCGCGCCACCACCAGAAGCACGGCTTCCAGTGCGAGGTCCAGAGGCGGGTCCAGAGTCCGGAGATCATCAACATCCACCGCGGGCCCAGCTCTCTGTACGAGTACGGTGACGGGAACAACTGTGCGGTGAAGTCGTGCGCGTACGATAAGGAGTTTAAGTGCGATGATTACGGGTTCCGGCGGGGGCATCCGTTCCGGACGAGCTCCAGGTGAGTTATTTGCAAAAATTTTTCGCCGTCCACTAGGAACCCCTTCTGAATTTTTCTAGGTTTTCAAATAATCGGGATTTGCAAAAACATAATGCACGGTATAATAACGGTTTACTCTTAGAATAAGGCATCCCGGTCGTGGTCTAGTGGTTACGAGTCAGGAATGCAGACCGAACGTCTCAGGTTCGACTCCAAACTTGGCCTTTCGTTTTTTTTTCCTTTTTTTTCTCTTGTTCTCTCGCATTGTCTATTATCTGTGAAATCTTCTCGAGAATTCGAAATGTCTTTTCTAAAAATGTAAAACCTTCTCGGGGGCCCCAAATGTCTTTTTTTAATTGTAAATTGAACAATCGGACAATTGAAAAATCGAAACATCCAAAAATTGAACAATCGAAAATTTAGAAATACGGAAAATTTTTGAAAAATTGAAATATAGTAAGTAAGTAAGTAAGTAAGTAAGTAATTTTTTAAGTAAGTAATTTTTATTGTGCTAAAAACATAAAGTTTATACACTCGTCCAAAGTTTACAAGAATGTAATAGTAAAAATAAACATAAAAACCATGCAATACAATACTTATGTAGATTATGAGCTAGCTACATGATAAACAAGAAATTACTCAAAATTATATTGAAAATATTCATTGAAACTATAAAAACTATTTTCGGTTAAGACATCCTTGATTTTTTTTAGAAATTGAGATGGTGGAAGGTTGCGGAAACTCTGAGGTAATTTGTTGAAGAACACTATACAGAAATAGTTCCTGGCAGTTCTGCAACGGTTTATTCTCAAATTTTCGATTAACAAATTTGTGGACCTGGTATTATAGTCATGGAAAGAACTCAGTGTAGGAAATTGATTAATTTGGTTTACTAAAAATTTAAAACAGTGATAGATGTACAAGCAGGGCAATGTCAAAATATTTAAGGATTGAAATGAAAATTTGCAATCATTACGATAACCAATACCTGAAAGTATTCTAATAGCTCTTCTTTGAAGCCTAAAAAGGTTTTGTGACGAGGCGCTGTGTCCCCAGATTAGTATACCATATACTAAGTGAGATTGTATTAGCGCATAATATGCAATTTTTAATATATTTTGATCAACATGATTTGATAAGTTTCTTAAGAGATAAGTATTTTTAGAAATGATGTGAACAATATAATCCACATGTTCATGCCAAAGTAATTTAGTATCTAGAACAATTCCGAGAAACTTGTTAGTACTTTTCGTATCCGCAAAATACTTATCTTTCTTCAATGAAAATACCATCTGAACTGATTTGTTCTTATTTACGCAAAGTTTGTTGGCGAAAAACCAAGGTTCCGCTTGCGAAGATATATTCATAAGAGTAGGTACTTATTACTAATGAAGATGACATTGCCTTTTTACTAAAAGTAGTATCGTCCGCGTACAATATCGTAAACAAATCAGGGAAAAAGTATGGCAGATCGTTCACATAAATTAAGAAAAGTAGAGGCCCTAAGATGGATCCCTGAGGTACACCATACGCGATTTGTTCTTTATCGGAGACTATACCATCAACAGAGACTACTTGCAATCGATTCAAAAGATACGATGAAATTAATCTAGTGGCATCTGGCTGAAAGTTGTAAAAAAAAAGTTTACGGATTAGTATTTCATGAGACATGCAGTCAAATGCCTTACTAAGATCTAGAAAGGCAGACACAAAATATTCACCATCTTGAAAGGATTTAACGACATTATCAATAAAAGATAGAACAGCTTTTTCAGTGGATAAGCCTTTTCGAAATCCAAACTGATTTGTACAAAACAAGTTATTACTAATAAAGAATTCAAGGATTTGTTCTAACATTAATTTTTCGAACACTTTAGACAACACTGGAAGAAGGGAGATTGGTCGATAGTTATCAACTTCATTGACATTACCTTTTTTGTATATTGGACATACTAAAGCCAATTTTAAGCAGTCTGGAAAAACCGAGTCAACAATACATTTATTTATTAATTTGGTCAAAGGTGCAATTAGTATATCCTTTACTGATTTTATAACGTCGACATTGAACCCATAAATATCTTTACTGCTCTTATTTTTTAATTTATTCAATGCCTCACGTACTTGTACCTCACTAACTGTCCTGAATTTAAAGAACATATGTGACGTGTTATTAACAGATATCATAATTTTAACAGGATCAAGATTAGTATTTGGTAAGGAATTAAGAATATTTTTAGCAATGCTCGAGAAATGTAAATTGAATTCGTTAGAGGAAATTTTTGTAGTTTCATGAATAGTACGTTTTCTACTTCTGTTTATTAATGACCACATAGCTTTAGAATTATTAGAATTGTTTTTAATAAAGACATTATTAGCTGCAATTTTAGCTTTTTTAACAGCTTCTTCATATTTACGCTTAAAGTTATTATACATTATTTTCAAACCCAAAGTCCCATATAATCTGTAAGAACTATATATTAGATGCAGAGTTTCTCGCATGATTTTTAAATCAGGGGTATACCAAATTATATTATGGACCTTGGATCTGTTACACGATAGTTTCTTCTCAGGACAGGCGATATTATAATACAATAGTAGCGTATCTATAAAGATCGAGAACAAATCAGACGCATTAAAGTCGCAATTTTGATCAATGAAACTCCAATCAACTTGTTGTAATAAATTAAAAAACATGATTTTCCCAAACTGTGAGATGGGCCTTACATATTTAGGGATAAATGAGTTATCGAATACAGCTTCCTTTAGAGTAACATTTACACATATTCCAGTATGGTCCGACTGATAAAGTTTAGCAGGTGTTATATTTATCATATCTGAATTAATATTAGTAAACACATTATCAAGTGTGTTGTTATAACGCGTTTTAAATCTGACAGTAGAATATAAGCCGTAGCTAGACAAAAGATTACAAAAATAATTGGCTTTTGCATCATTAGTGCCAAATAATAAGTTAAAATCTCCACCCACTATGACGTATTTAGATTTGCAATGAATTTCATTAACAAGAATGACTATAGTATCAATAAATTTATGAAAATCGCCTTTTGGCGAGCGATAAACCGTTATTAAAATTAAATCTAACTTAGTGATAAGTACGCCGCATAATTCGCAATCCACCTCAGCAGAAAGTGCTGATACCTTATCAGACAGAATCTTGAAGGGGATACTTTGGTGCATCAGCTGCATGACTCCTCCATGCTTCTTTGAAGACCGCGCAAAAAATGCTGCCGTGTTGAAATCGGGCACATGAATATTATCGATTTCGATATGGTTCAACCAATGTTCACAAAGGCAGATACAATTTATTTTTAGAATTTCCACTTCTGAAAAAAGCATATTAAATTTGTTTCTAATGCACTGTATGTTTAAAAATAAAATTCGAAAACTGGCCCCTTTGAAACAGAAATTTTCTATTAATTCATTAGGGACGTATTCACTTTTTCGTTTTTTAAGAAGTAAAATTTTTTCACTAAAATTCCTTCCGGCCATAATTCCTCCTTGAAGAAATCCTTAAAAATTGTTTTCTCCACTGTGATTTTGAATGACACGCTTTTGGCAGTAGGCCTCTTAGGAAGTTTGTCAACACTAATTTCTTTATCAGAGAATTTAGACTTTAAGAATAGCTTCAAATCGTTTTCAGACGTGTTTGGATGTAAATTACCGACATAGATATACCCATTTCGCGGCACAGCCTTTATCAACGTATCATTTTCATTTGTAGCAGAAGCTTTACCTCGAATGAAGTTACGCTTTTTCTTTCTTGAGACAACAGTTTGAAAACCTTCGGCATCATTTAGGGCGTTGTGAGAAGATATTTCTTCATTTTTTTCATTTTTTTCCATGTTCGACGATGCTACGTTTAATGATGGATTAGATGGAATAAACGGGATAACCTTTGGGTCTAAAACGGATTTATTATTGTTATCCTTCGGAATTTTTTGCTGTTTATTAGTTTTTTGGCCGGATCGGTTTTGGACACTCTTATCGCGTGATGTTTTATAGTGTACTTTTTTTTTCCACTCGTTTGTATCGTTTATGCCATCGGAAGATATATCGGAGAACACATCGACATCGAAAGAGGGCACCTTCAACAAATTATTTTTGGGATAATCTGTCAACATTTTTATCATATCAACATTGGAACTCTTCACATTGTTAAGCTCTTGTTTAAGACTTCGAATTTCGTCACGCAGGGAGACGGTGGCTGCTTCTATTGCCTTGCGTAAGATGCTAGAAAAGGTGTTGCTTTTTAGGAAACTAATTACTGTTTCCGTTATCGAAGTTTCTTCATCTCCTATCTTGACAGATGTACTCTCTGAACTCGCTGTTTTATTGTGATGAAGACATTCCATTTCTGTTTCGGTAAAGAAACTAAACACTTCCTTTTTTTTATTTTTTTCACGAGCACAACTAGGGTGATAAGTTAGCCCACAAACTACACAACGTGTACACTTGCTTCTTAGCACTTGTTTGCATTTATCGCACTTTATTTCCGATTCACTTCTTTGAGAATCCGAAAACACTTCTTCACTCGTCGCCATCTTGTTCGAATAGATGAACTGCTAACTCTAGAAACTGAAATCCCTAGAATTTTAATTAATAAATTTAAAAATTGGGATTTGCAAAATTGAAATACATGTAGAAGAACTGAAAACTCTAGATTTTAAAAATTGAAAAATCTAAAGTTTAAAAAAAATTGGGAATCCAAAAAATAAAAATTCGAAAAATCCAGAAGTAGAAAAATCGAAAAGTTGAAGAATCAAAATACTGGAAAATCCCAAATCTGACAGAAATATGCAAAAATTGAGAAGTTAAAAAATTGGAAAACGAGAAATCGAAAACCCAAAAAAGCAAAGTCGAAAAAATAATTGAGAAATTTGAAAACTGAAAATTTAGCAACGTCAAAATTTGACAAATCAAAAAATCCAGGAATCCAAAAATCTAAAATTTAAAACACTGAACAATTAAAATATCGCAAAATTGAAAAATTAAAACATCCG